AGATATAGCCTATATTTTCAAACACAGGTGTTTGGTGTTTGGGTATGATCAATGTCGTTGCTATTTAAAACTAAGAACGTCCAATTTATTTAGAATCACTGGACTGGTAATGATATTCTGTTTCAAAAAAAGAGAACTTGTAGACAAAGGAAAAGTGAATTGTGACTGTATGTTTAAATTAAAGGAATATAGCAAGAGAAATAATAAGACGAAATATCTATAAATCAAGTAAGAAAAAGAGGCAAATTTCAATTCACGTATACAACCAGATTGATTTATTGCTTTAAATTTCTTTCTTACGTTCATATTTAGAAAGTATTATGCTATTGAACGGATGTGTTTTTAGGACGTTTAGATTTGTTAAAGTTTAACTGGTACGTATTATCATTGAATCCTTGCTTGAATTTTACTTTTGTTAATTTTAAATGATTTTATAACTGTATGCCAATTATCAGTGCAAAAATACTTAAAGAGTATTGCAAGAGAGAGAGAGAGAGAGAGAGAGAGAGAGAGAGAGAGAGAGAGAGAGAGAGAGAGAGAGAGAGAGAGACCTATAATACCTTGTTTTACAAGGCCTGAAAATAAAAGTGGAAATTAAATTTGACTTTTGTAGTTTAATGTGGTTTTGTTGGGCTTTGTAAGTCGTTTCATGAAGATTGCTTTGTTATTCCCAAAGTTTTTCCTTATTCTATCATATGCTGAAAAGTCTAATTGATAAATAGACTTGCGATTTAGCATTTCGGATTACTGTGACATTTCAGACGCCTTTTGTCGACCATTCAGTATCCTTCTAGTGTTTATACAAGAATCTTTAAGGAAGACGTTTACTTAGGTTTCAGAAAACAGTAAGGAAATTTTATAATGTATAATATGTTAAATCAAAATTGTTCTATATGGATAAACATTAAGCAAGTTTTAAATCAAAATCAATGAATAAATTGATTAATAAATTAATGATTATTATCATATGTATGGCCTAAACTCTTATCATTTGTTTATAAGAAGCAACGCTGTTCAATTGCTATAATATGTCATTATTTAAAGAGTTTAGTTGTTCGTAATATTTTGTGTGTGAAGAAAAAAATTGTCATAGTGTGAAAAATTGAGGTATTTCCTGAGAAATACTCAGGGACCACTAGCATTAAAAGTAGGTCATTGACCTAGTTATTTGAAATTGAAATTTAACACAAAAATCAAAGGTGTGCAATGTGCAGGTGGTTTTTCATTCTTATCAGTGGAATTTTTGGTCATCTGAGGAAAGGTATACCTTAAGGGGTCAAACATGAAAATTCATTACTGTCTTTGTACAATTTAAACACAAATCTTACTCTGAACAACTTATGAAGGCAAGTAGTTCTGTATAATTGCCGGTTATTTGATTAAGAATGGCTTTTGAAATTCTTAATTTCCCGAATACAAGTATTGATATCTATAAACATACTTGCGAAAAAAAAAACCCTGCACACATTTAGATTTAAGGCAATCTACGCAAGTGAGTTAAGGCTAGAGATGGGTTTTCTATGCAAATGAGCTAATAAAATGCATAAATTGTATATTTTATTCACAGAGAAAGTTCAAATTGATTTTCTTATACATACTTAGTACCCAGAGTATATTATTGCAAGTGCACATTATGACGTCATATTATGACGTCATAGTTCTTTCCCATTCAAGGTAATAAAACACATCAACAAAAGAACGTCGGCGCAAGGGCATATCCTATTTAATTTAAAATAAATAAAGTATAATATTAAGGAAAATATTCTTAAAATTAATAAAATTGCTGCACAAATCCTATCCTCTTCTTCAATCGATAAAAATTTTACTAAACTTAAACTGGACTGTACATTTTTACCCTGCTCAGCTTAGAACTGTGCAGATAGTAACTAAAGAATTGCAGTGTCGACATTTGTGCAGCAATATCTTAAATCACCGGAATATTCTGCTTTTCTTTATACCTTGTTTCTGAAAAACAAAGTAAGGTATGCCCTTGCGCCGACGCGATTTTGTTGATGTTTCTTATAAACTTGTGTAGTAAAGGTCGATGACGTCATAATATGACATCATAATGTGTACTGGCAGTTGCATATCGTGGGTACCAAGAATGTATTAGAAAACAAGTCTTGACATTTTCTTTGCAGTATGTATAGCAATAAAAGGTCTTAATTAATTATTTTGCATAGTAAACTCCATACGTAGCCTTAACTCACTTGCGTAATTAAAATTAGATGTTAGATCCGCTCGCATACTCTCTACACTAAGTTAGTGTAGAGAATATGCGAGCGGATCTAACATCTAATTTTAACTAGATTGGATTTAAGGGGGCCGACAATGGTTTCCAATGCGCAGTATTTCGCGCATCATAGTAAAAAAAGCGTATTTACTGTTTTAAAGCAACTTTTATCGCATAATTATTAAAATTAAACAAAATCAAGAAATCATAGGTATAAAATTGCAATTAAAATTTTATAAAACTGATTTTTGACCGATTTTGCAATTGATAGGTTACTTGACGTCGTTACAGTGTGTTTTTGACGTAATGATAAACTGAAACTCTAAAAGAAAGGGGTGATTAAAATGTTATTCAAGAAAAAGTAATAAACATAAGCTCTTGAAATTTTAAACAAAGAAATTTGAGAATATCTCCATTATTTTTACTATGTTTTCATATAAATCCTTTGTGTCTTTCATATTTTGTATTACTCTATAAAACAGGAAAATTCGTTATTTTTTGGCATTTAAGATGCCCCCTCTGGTAACAAGATGGTAGAATTGTGTGTTTCTTACATATATTGCATAATATAGTATATCTAATCAAATTTTATAGTTTGAACAAAAAGGCTGTTGTAGTATTTGTATAAGTTGCTATAAAGTGCTAAAATTGGCATTTTCCTTTATAATCCTATAGTAAATGTACTTGTATTTTGAGACGATCCCTCAAAATACCTGGACGGTAAATTTCCCCCAAACTTGGCATGCGCACTGAAATTAATGTAAGTTATATATGGTATAAAAATGAAGATTTTCGCTATTGTAGTTTTCAAACAATAAAACCATAGTCGGCCCCATTAAAAGAAAATAAAGATAAGTTTAAACATGTAGCCGCTTTTGGCGACTCACACATTTGGCGGTTTTTCTCTAAGGTATAAAACTGATTATGTTTGTTATACTTTTGTTCATCGTATCTCAAAAATGTAGAGTTCTTGACAAAGGTTTCAAAAAAAAGATACATTTTTTTCGCTTACCGATATTTCTTTATAGATGAAGCTCGATAATAAGTCAGGATGATATCCCTAATAAAAGTAATTTATTTTTTTGAAATTGTTCAATACGCATTGCCAATGTCAATGCTAACAATATTTCACAAACGATTTGTACACGTCTCAGAACGTCAATTTCAGTGCATTCTAAAGACAATGGTGAAATCACATAGCTTATACCGCTAACGTTTATACTTATTATTTGTTTTGAATAAGGGGAAACGGCACCTAATTGATGATGCGGTATTATAAATGCTTTTGAAATGTTATTCCAGATGGTATTTGAGGAAGCCTTGATCGACTAATGCCCAAGGTCACTGTCAGTTGATGAGCGATGTAAAGGTCTCTCCATTTAATCTCAATAAAAAGGAATACATTTTTCTATTGTGTAATAAAGTTGATTCAATTATTAGTTTCTGTTTGTATGCGTGGATGTTTAGTTTCGGTATATTTTTTTGTTGATTTGATTTTGACCTTAATGGGTTACCGTTGACGGATGTAGACTGAATTAGTTGTAGAGGGAGTATTAAATGACTGGTTGGTCACTTTAAGAGACAAAAACACAGTTTATTTCAAGTAATTTCACTACAGCGTATCAGATATATTTGTAAAGTTTATTTCTGTTTTCATATTTCTAATTTGGGTGTGATGTGAAAGGAGGGAGAATTTTTTTTTTGTTTCCTTATATTCAAAAATATGTTTTATTAATTTTATAATTTGTTCCTTTTTATCTCAGCCATACAAACTAGATCCAAAAATCTTATTACATATTTGAGAAGGTATTATGCTACTGTGTCCCGCACCACCCTGTCATATTTTGTTTTCATTTCATCTTTCTGAGTGATAATTACATTATATTATTATATCATTATTTTTATATTAGACTAAAAGGTACCAACGTCATTATCAATATCATTTTTATAATTTAGAGTTTCCAAATTGATTTCAGTATTATCTGAATGTTCTGTTGCTTTCTAAGGAATAATACGATACAGACTGACAACCCCTTGACCTTTATGTCGGTGACAATTCTTTATCCTACATTTTTATTACTGATTAAGCAGGAAAGACAGTTTCTTAGAACACCCTTGTAAACTCTCGGTGTATTTATATAATAAATTGATTAAAACATGCTGGTAACTATTCCTGAATTCATTATCAAATTCAGCAGAGTGTTACATTCAAATGCTTTAATATCTTACAAGATGCTGTAAACTCAAAAACAAATGTTTTTTTCATTTCTAATTTTAGCATGTTGTGTTCTCAATGCCTATGAACCTTGAAATGGACACTTCAGTATTCAGCAACCAGTGTAGAGTACGACAGTGTTTCCAGTGTCAGAGGGACACAGAATTCTACTGTAACACGTGTAAACATGGACTTTGTCTACCGTGTAAAGAGATGCATGTTTTTGATCTAGATACCATACACCACGATGTTATAATTTACCGTGAGAAATATCAATATATCCCAAAACAAGAGATTTGTGAAAAACATCCTGACAGAATCATTAGACGATATTGCAATTCCTGTAAACTTCCTGTTTGTTTTGAATGTAGAGAACATTTGAAACACAAACTACAGGACTAAATATCAGCTTATAAAACATTCCGACAAAAACACAGAGAAACCATTCACAAGATCAGGTGTGAGACTCTCTATAACAGCTTTTTTTCCCTTAGAAGAGTCAAAACTGACATGAAATCTGTCCACACAGAAATTTTCAACAATCAATCAAACATGTCAACTAAAGCCAAAAGATTAAAGAACCTCATTGATACAGTGATATGTGAAGCTAAATTCGAATATACATCATACCTTCACAGGTTGGAAAAACTGAAGATGGAAATTTATGAACGTCATGTCATCATAGAGAAGTATGAACATATATCAGATCAGTCGGCAAACAAAGCTCTACGTTTCCCTTTGATTTTTAAGAAAACCAATGCCCTCAATGTAAAAGAGACTCCGCGTTTTACACAACATACCATGTTCTGCGTGACCAACGAAATCCACATCAGGGATATGATTAAATACCTGAGTGGAATACAAATCATTGAGACGGTAAAAAGACAAGTGAGAAATGATTCTCTTCTGCATCTGAAGTATACACCCGTGTTTCACACACATGTTACGGTGGCAGGTGTTAACAGTGTAAATCACATTTACCATCTTACATCAGATCGGGTTTGGATCAGTGATGATAAAAATCTTATTTTGACGTCGACGAATACAAACGGTGATATTTTGCATCATCTTTCAGATATATCTAGTAATTATGCAGATGTACACACAGTGAACGATACCTTTGATCTTATATACATAGGTAAGAATAAACACATTAACAAATTAACTAATGACAATCAAACAAACATTATACTTATAAAGACACCAAAGTCATGGGACCTACAGTGTGTTTATTTCTCCTCCTTAAATGGAGATCTACTGGTCGGGATGTGGAATATTGAAACTCTTATGGAAGGCATGGTAACAAGATATGATAGTGTAATGAATCAGGGTTATTCCAATCAGTATAACAAGGGATGTTAGGGTTTTTGACTTGGACTGACCTGTCTCCCCTACCATAAATAGACCAGTCCTATGCTCTATATATAGTGGGTGTTGACATATTCAGTCAGTCCATGTCGGAATCAGTACAGTTACGTTCACTGCATCAGACTGATCTAAGAAGTGGCCAGGTAAGGGAAATAAAGTTAGTATGGGTGATAAGATAAAGTGACGACGCTGAATAAGCTGAGTCACAATAAGGTTACTTTAGGGCTGAATAAGCCTTATTGTATAGGTTGCGTCAACTGGTTGACCTCAGTAGCTTTGGCATTAGAAATAAAGGCTGAATAAGTCTGTACCCTAGTGCCAAAGTGAACTGGAGACGCCAGTTGACTAGAGACCTTTGGTTTAGTAACCTGGACCCTTGGTTGGGCCAGTTGTCCGGGACATTGGTTAGGGGTGAGACAAGTGGTCCGGAGTCAAATTGTCCCTTGATTTTGTTCTGCGAATCGTAGTAAATATATTGATTAGGTAAATTGTTGAAATAATCATCGTAAATATATTGATTAAGTTTGTGTCCTAGTGGACAAGATACAAATCATTTGTCTAAATTATTACACTGCAGGAATCCCGGGTGTAACCGGGTACGTGCCCTATTGAATATATAGACCGCTCGGCTGGTCACACGTTACAGAATTTTTGGTGGCAGCGGTGGGATTTCTGCAGTGTTAGCAACACGGTGTGTGTGTGTTTAATTTTGGTTCCATAATAAATTTTTAGGGAAATCAATTTGTTTTTTATAATGTCAGCTGATCAGTAAGATCGGGAACTGACTTTTCTCAAGGAAGAAATAAGAGAACTAGAGTCAAGTATCCGGCAGCATGAAAGTATGATACACTCAACACCAAGGTCTCGTGGATATGAGAACCGTGGTAGATACGACTCTGGTATTGCCAGTGGTCCATCGTCTGTCGTTCCCAGGAGTCCTTTGGCTGATCGTTTTCCAGATAGCGAGCCAAATAGATCGAGTACTAGCTGTCATCCAAGGGTTAGGTTTCCTGAGGAAATGGAGGCTAGAAATGTTGAAACCTTCAGAGATGGCATGGCGGATAGAGTTATATATAATGGTAATGTAACATACAGGCGTCACCGTAGACCAGTTGTCCAAGATATTGCAACAAAGAAAATGAGTAGAAGGGAAGTCAGAGCTGCAACCTACCATGGCAGTGGATCGGGTTGGATTATAAGACTCATTTTCACACGGTCAGTAAACTTAATGAGTTGACAGAAGAGGAGAACGGTTTATTTCTCGCAGCATCTGTTCGGGGTCAGGCTCAAGGGGTTCTTGGCAACTTGCCAGGTGACAACACAGATTATCATTACCTTGTACATGCTCTAGAAGAGCGTTTTGCACCACCTAGCCAAACTGAATTATACAGAGTTCAGCTAAGGGAGAGGCGTAAAAGAGCCACAGAGACCATACTTGAATTAGGACAGGCTGTCAGAAGATTGGCAAATTTGGCCTATCCTAAAGCACCATCTGAGGTAAGGGAAACTTTGGCCATGGAACAATTTTGAGATGGCTTGCCTGACTCAGACATGCGAAGAAGGATCAAGCTAGCGCGCCCAAAAGATCTAAATGATGCCATTAAACATGCAGTAGAACTTGAGGCATATCTTAGGGCAGAAGACAAAAGGGGGTACAAAGGTTATCAACACCAACTGAGGGAAGAGGTAACTACAAATAACGAAACCTTCAATATGGAAATGAAGAACTGGATGTCATCAGTAGAGAAAAATATGGCAGCCATGACCAAGGAAATCAAAGAGCTCAGACAAGGCAGAGGCCAGTGGGACAGAAAGTCTTACAAAGCGTCACCTCTATCCAGAAAAAGCATGGATATGATAGAATGCTATAGTTGTCATAAAAAGGGATATTTTAAGCGAAATTGTCCAGAGAAAAACAAGAAAGATGCACATTATCGCCAGAGTACTTCAGGGGGTAGTGATCCCAAAAGGAAAAACAGTGATAAGGGTTTAAATGGACAGCTGACTGGCAAACTTGGTTCTTGTTCAAACGAAGCTGGAATGTTCATTTATGCAAGGATAAATGGTGTTAAGGGTAAAATGTTAGTAGACACAGGGGCTACGGTTACAATGCTGTCAATAACTTTATCGGAAAAGGTGAAAGACCAATTGCCATTTGAAATCCAAGAAGTTGGAATGAAAGTTTACACTGCAGATGGTGATGAATTAAAGTTGGAAGGTAAAGTCAATATCGAGATGGCAATTGGAAAATATCCTATAAAGACATTGGCCTTGGTAGCTGATCTTCAGATAGAAGGGATTCTGGGATTAGACTTGATCAGACGTTTCGATATGATAATAGACGAGAAACGGCACCTTTTGTTACATCAGGATGAAAGTATCCCTCTTGTGTATGAAGGAAAAATTGGATGTTATAGAGTTGTAGCAGAAGAAACGGTTAGCATACCACCCCGGAGTGAACTTATTATACCAGGGAAAATATGTACCTTTGACGAGGAGCATCTACAGACCCAAGGTATTGTAGAACCAAGAGAGAAAGAGGAAGCAAATAGGCCATTGACTGCTAGAACTTGTGTTCAACCAATGAAGAATAATATTGTGCCAGTGAGATTGTTGAACGTGGAGTCTGAAACAAAGGTGGTGTATAAGAACACAGAGATTGGAACATTTCAAGAAACGGAACACGTTACCTCAAACTATGCCGGTGAACCAGCAGAGCGGCCCGATATAGAAAATCTGTATCATGAATCTGTAAAGCATTTTACAAAGAAACAAGCAAAAGAATTGAAATCTTTTCTATGGAAGTACAAATCGCTGTTTGCAAAAAATAACAATGATCTTGGAAAAACCAATATTGTCAAACACAAGATAGACACTGGAGACGCGAGACCTATAAAACAACCCGTTCGCCGTTTTCCTGCACACTTGTTTCAATTCCGAGTGATACCTTTCGGACTTGGTTGTGCACCAGCCACGTTCGAAAGATTTATGGAAATGGTATTGGCAGGATTACAATGGGAGGCTTGTCTGGTTTACCTTGATGATATTATTATAATGGGTAAGGACTTGAAATGATGGCTAATTTAGAGAAAGTATTTGACAGACTTCAATTAGCTGGATTACGACTAAAAGCCAAGAAATGCCATTTGTTCCAGAGATTGGAAGTTCTTGGGCACATTATTTCTGAAGAAGGAATAATGACAGACCCTGAAAAGACAGAAAGTGTGAAGAATTGGCCAGTGCCAACAAGTGAAACGGAGGTGAGGTCCTTCCTTGGTTTATGTGGGTATTATAGAAAGTTTATAAAGGACTTCGCAACGATTGCCAAGTGCCTACATAAGTTGACTGAAAAAAGGGAGACCATTTGTCTGGAACGATGATTGCAAGATCGCTTTTGACCTGTTGAAACAGAAACTTATAACTACCCCAGTGTTAGGACACCCTGACTTCACTAAAGAGTTTATCCTCGACACGGATGCCAGCAGAGATGCTATTGGGGCTATACTTTCTCAGGAACAAGAAGGTCATGAGAAAGTCATTGCTTACGCTAGCCGTACCTTGTCCAAGAGTGAAAAAAGCTACTGCGTCACTAGGAAGGAGCTCCTTGCAGTTGTTCATTTTGTAAAAGTTTTCAGACATTTCCTTGAGGGACGAAAATTTCGTATTAGAACGGACCATAGCTCCCTTATGTGGTTATTGAGATTCAAGAACCCAGAGAGACAACTAGCCAGGTGGCTAGAAGTATTGAATACATATGATATGTTGATTGAACACCGGCTAGGAGCACAACACCAAAATGCTGATGCCTTGAGTAGGATACCCTGCAAGTAATGTGGTTTCTTTACTGCATGGGATCAATAAGAGGAATCAGGGGCTCTACATTCAATTAATAACAATGAGGATGGTGCCCAAATGTCAGATGGTTTGTCCCTTAAAAGTATTCAAGAAAACGATGAAGATATTGCATTGTTGCTCAAATGGTTAAAGTGTGGGACAAAACCAAAATCCGAAGAACTAGCAGGAAAAAGTATTTATGTTCGAGGACAATGGGACTTGTTACTGATCAAAGATGAGTTACTGTGCAGAAAGTGGATTCCTGGAAAAGGAAGTCCTATCTTTCATGCTATAATACCATGGAGCGAGAGGCGGAAGGTACTATATTTCTGCCATGACTTCAAAGGGGCAGGACACTTAGGTCACAAGGAGACACTTGAAAGAGTTCGAAGTAAGTTCTATTGGCCTTTGCCGAAAGGACATAAGAGCGTATGTTGCAGGATGTGAAAAATGTTCCAAGAGAAAAAGTCCGAATGTTACAAAGAAAGCTCCCATGAAGATAGTGGAATCTGGGATCCCTATGGAGAGAGTGGCCACGGATATTCTGGGAGAATTGCCAAAGACAGAGAGAGGTAACCGCTATATTTTGGTAGTCGGTGACTACTTTACTAAGTAGACCGAGAGCTTCGCAGCACAGTTAAGGTTTCAAAAAGGAGGCGGAGCCTAATTTGTACGGGAAAACGACTATGACATCATACACAACATACGTCATACATCATTTCTTTAAATACCACAAAATGAGTTTATCTGCCAATTTGAACAGTAAGAAATCATCAAACTACATAAAAACTTACTACAGAGTGTTGTTTTGTCGTTAGTTAAATTCCACATAACAAGTTACAATCAAGTCACTGATCGCAATACACTTGTCAATATGACGTCATTTCTTACAACATGACGTAGTTTGTATGCAGTGAGAGACAGATTAAGTAATATTTCTCAACAAAATATGTATTCTCTACTTAAATAAAATATTTTTTACAGATATTCTATGGGCCAATTAATTGAATTTAACGTCTTCTTCACTATTTTATTAATATATTTTCTGTACATTACGTATTTGATTGACACTGCCGTATATTTGTAGGCAAGTACATCGGAGGGTAATTTGGGGGGTCTTAATAAATCGATCTAGTGCAAGGGCATACACTCTATGGATC